AAATAAAGAATCGTTGATGTGAGGTTACAGAGACATTTACACTAAAGGAAAAGATTCCTCAGCACTTTGTTTCATGTGTCAATGATCAGTTTGTGTCCTTTGTTTTGGGTCTTTATCACACATTGGCACTGTGACAGATTTGATCACAGAGACTCCCTTGTGACTGTCACCTGATATGCTGAATTTACCTCTGAGCCCATTTTACCTGACAGCTTGGGACTCCAGAACCCTGCCTTGTTGAGCCAGACACGCTAGCCTGCTGCAACACAGAACCAGGACTGGTCCACGCCCCCAAAGCTGCAGACTCTAACCAAAAATTGCCCAGCAGGTCACCTATCTCCAGCACCCAGACTCCAAGTTCCCAATGTGAACCAACCCCCAAATAAATCCGTTTTACTCTGTATAAAGCTTATACGGGGTAAAATCATAAATTGTCCGCCTTCTATAACACTGATAGAGATATGCACAGCTGTTTGCTCCTCCAGGTATTAATCACTTACTCTGGGTTTATCAATAAACGAAAGTGAGTGTATTAAGCATAAAAAGTAGGATTTAAGTGGTTCCAAGTAATAACAGACAGAGCAAAGTAAGTTACCAAGCAAAATAAAACAAAACACACAAGTCTAAACCTAATACATTAAGAAACTGATTACAGGTAAATCTCACCCTCAGAGTTGGTCCAATATGTTTCTTTCACAGACTAGACTCCTTCCTCCTGCTGACCTCTGCTGAGTTCACATGTTCTTCCTGCTCAAGTGTCCCCTTGTTAGTTGTCAGTTGTTCAATCCCTGAGGTTCCCATTGTCTTTCAGGATCCTTCATTGATATTGGTGGGCTCCAGCCAGTCCTGTGATGACTCATTCATCCCACCCTAGATAGTTAAGTGACACATGTCTTCAGCTCTGCCCCAATAGAGCTTTGTAACCTTATTGTGCTGACTGGGTAGCAATCCTTAGCCAGGTAAGTCACTGCCCTACCTACCATTCATAAAACTATTACACAGGATTCCCACTTCATCACCACAGTTGAGTGTTCTGCTGCCCAGACACAGCTGCTATAAAGTTGCCCAGAGTCTGTGCTAGGGCAATGCTCACATGTACTAGCCTGCACAATGTTCGTTCCCACGCCGGACAAGCGCTGGCTGGATGTTGAAATGTCCCACTTTACCAGTCAGTGAT